GACCATCGTTAAGAGGAAAGATTTAAATGTAGAATATTAGAGAATTTAATCACGAATTCAAAGAGGTATCCCACTTTCAAATCTTGTACATATAACTCAAGTTATGGAATTTAGAAGTGCAGTTTTGGGTTTCCATTCTGACCCCATTGAAAACAAGGATAAATCGAACATGAAAATGGGTTAAAATTTTGACCATCGTTAAGAGGAAAGATTTAAGTGTAGAATATTAGACAATTTAATCACGAATTCATAGAGGTATCCCACTTTTAAATCGGGTTCATATAACTCAAGTTATGGAATTTTGAAGTGCAGTTTTCGGTTTCCATTCTGACCCCATTGAAAACAAGGATAAATCGAACATGAAAATGGGTTAAAATTTTGACCATCGTTAAGAGGAAAGATTTAAGTGTAGAATATTAGACAATTTAATCACGAATTCATAGAGGTATCCCACTTTTAAATCGGGTTCATATAACTCAAGTTATGGAATTTTGAAGTGCAGTTTTGGGTTTCCATTCTGACCCCATTGAAAACAAGGATAAATCGAACATGAAAATGGGTTAAAATTTTGACCATCGTTAAGAGGAAAGATTTAAGTGTAGAATATTAGACAATTTAATCACGAATTCATAGAGGTATCCCACTTTTAAATCGGGTTCATATAACTCAAGTTATGGAATTTAGAAGTGCAGTTTTGGGTTTCCATTCTGACCCCATTGAAAACAAGGATAAATCGAACATGAAAATGGGTTAAAATTTTGACCATCGTTAAAAGGAAAGATTTAAGTGTAGAATATTAGACAATTTAATCACGAATTCATAGAGGTATCCCACTTTTAAATCGGGTTCATATAACTCAAGTTATGGAATTTAGAAGTGCAGTTTTGGGTTTCCATTCTGACCCCATTGAAAACAAGGATAAATCGAACATGAAAATGGGTTAAAATTTTGACCATCCTTAAGAAAATACATTTAAATGCAGAATATTAGAGAACTTAATCACGAATTCATAGAGGTATCCCACTTTTAAATCGGGTACATATAACTCAAGTTATGGAATTTAGAAGTGCAGTTTTGGGTTTCCATTCTGACCCCATTGAAAACAAGGATAAATCGAACATGAAAATGGGTTAAAATTTTGACCATCGTTAAGAGGATAGATTTAAATGTAGAATATTAGAGAATTTAATCACGAATTCAAAGAGGTATCCCACTTTTAAATCGGGTACATTTAACTCAAGTTACGGAATTTAGAAGTGAAGTTTTCGGTTTCGAGTTCTGACCCCATTGAAAACAAGGATAAATCGCACATGAAAGTGGGTTAAAATTTTGACCATCGTTAAGATTAAAGATTTAAATGTAGAATATTAGAGAATTTAATCACGAATTCATAGAGGTATCCCACTTTTAAATCGGGTACATATAACTCAAGTTATGGAATTTAGAAGTGCAGATTTGGGTTTCCATTCTGACCCCATTGAAAACAAGGATAAATCGAACATGAAAATGGGTTAAAATTTTGACCATCGTTAAGAAAATACATTTAAATGCAGAATATTAGAGAATTTAATCACGAATTCATAGAGGTATCCCACTTTTAAATCGGGTACATATAACACAAGTTATGGAATTTAGAAGTGCAGTTTTCGGTTTCCATTCTGACCCCATGAAAACAAGGATAAATCGAACATGAAAATGTGTTAAAATTTTGACCATCGTTAAGAGGATAGATTTAAATGTAGAATATTAGAGAATTTAATTACGAATTCATAGAGGTATCCCACTTTTAAATCGGGTACACATAACTCAAGTTATGGAATTTAGAAGTGCAGATTTGGGTTTCCATTCTGACCCCATTGAAAACAAGGATAAATCGAACATGAAAATGGGTTAAAATTTTGACCATCGTTAAGAGGATACATTTAAATGCAGAATATTAGAGAATTTAATCACGAATTCATAGAGGTATCCCACTTTTAAATCGGGTACATATAACGCAAGTTATGAAATTTAGAAGTGAAGTTTTGGGTTTCCATTCTGACCCCATTGAAAACAAGGATAAATCGAACATGAAAATGGGTTAAAATTTTGACCACCGTTAAGAGGAAAGATTTAAATGTAGAATATTAGAGAATTTAGTCACGAATTCAAAGAGGTATCCCACTTTTAAATCGGGTACATATAACTCAAGTTATGGAATTTAGAAGTGCAGATTTGGGTTTCCATTCTGACCCCATTGAAAACAAGGATAAATCGAACATGAAAATGGGTTAAAATTTTGACCATCGTTAAGAGGATACATTAAAATGTAGAATATTAGAGAATTTAATCACGAATTCATAGAGGTATCCCACTTTTAAATCGGGTACATATAACGCAAGTTATGGAATTTAGAAGTGCAGTTTTGGGTTTCCATTCTGACCCCATTGAAAACAAGGATAAATCGAACATGAAAATGGGTTAAATTTTGTACCATCGTTAAGAGGAAAGATTAAAATGTAGAATATTAGAGAATTTAATCACGAATTCAAAGAGGTATCCCACTTTTAAATCGGGTTCATATAACTCAAGTTATGGAATTTTGAAGTGCAGTTTTGGGTTTTTACTCTGACCCCATTGAAAACAAGGATAAATCGAACATGAAAATGGGTTAAAATTTTGACCATCGTTAAGAAAATACACTTAAATGCAGAATATTAGAGAATTTAATCACGAATTCATAGAGGTATCCCACTTTTAAATCGGGTACATATAACGCAAGTTATGGAATTTAGAAGTGCAGTTTTCGGTTTCCATTCTGACCCCATTGAAAACAAGGATAAATCGAACATGAAAATGGGTTAAAATTTTGACCATCGTTAAGAAAATACATTTAAATGCAGAATATTAGAGAATTTAATCACGAATTCATAGAGGTATCCCACTTTTAAATCGGGTACATATAACGCAAGTTATGGAATTTAGAAGTGCAGTTTTCGGTTTCCATTCTGGCCCCATTGAAAACAAGGATAAATCGAACATGAAAATGGGTTAAAATTTTGACCATCGTTAAGAGGATAGATTTAAATGTAGAATATTAGAGAATTTAATCACGAATTCAAAGAGGTATCCCACTTTTAAATCGGCTACATATATCTCAAGTTATGGAATTTAGAAGTGCAGTTTTCGGTATCCCACTTTTAAATCGGGTTCATATAACTCAAGTTATGGAATTTTGAAGTGCAGTTTTGGGTTTCAGTTCTGACCCCATTGAAAACAAGGATAAATCGCACATGAAAGTGGGTTACAATTTTGACCATCGTTAAGAGGAAAGATTTAAATGTAGAATATTAGAGAAATTAATCACGAATTCATAGAGGTATCCCACTTTTAAATCGGGTACATATAACTCAAGTTATGGAATTTAGAAGTGCAGTTTTGGGTTTCCATTCTGACCCCATTGAAAACAAGGATAAATCGAACATGAAAATGGGTTAAAATTTTGACCATCGTTAAGAGGATAGATTTAAATGTAGAATATTAGAGAATTTAATCACGAATTCATAGAGGTATCCCACTTTTAAATCGGGTACATATAACTCAAGTTACGGAATTTAGAAGTGCAGTTTTGGGTTCCCATTCTGAACCCATTGAAAATAAGTAAAAGTAGAACATGCATTTTAATGTTAAAAATGTTAAACGTGTATGGAAGAAAACCTTGAATGTAGATTTTTAGAGAATTCATTACTCTACTTATACATTGGTTTCCAACAACTCAAGTTATGGGTTATAGAACTTTAATAAATATTTACAACGTCCTGAGATTATAGAATATCCTATATCTGTCCTATATCTTTTGAGAGGTGTGAACGGCTATGTACAATTGTCTGGCCAATATGCGGAAGATAAATCGGTAAAAGGGCAGCCATGGACAAAATTGTACTCCCCTCTGGTAAAACCGTATGGTGCATAGGGTAATGAATGATCTGGCTGCGGCGATCACCACTTACATGCCGATTTCTCCGAGGTGTTTTGCTGCACATCGCCAGCTTATTGTTCCAGTTTTCGGCTTGTTAGCTACTCCCTCTCACTCTTGCCTCAATTTCCGCCTGTAATCTGCTTGTTTTCAAGTCTACCCTCGGGGCACTCTGCAATTTTTGCTACACGAAATTGCCTCTAAATCAAAAAATGCTCATGCAAACAGCCACAACCGCAGACACCTACACTCGATTTCTGGTTTGGGGGCTTTTGGTCCGCTGTGCGTGCCTGTCCCATCGGGATTGAACCCGGACCCAAACCCAACCCAGACCAAAGTCAGAACATTGATAAATAACTAAATAATAGAACAAGCAGCTGGCAAAAGGTGCTAAAACTTTAAAGGCGGCTGAAAGTGAAATAAAATAAAGAGGATTGAATAACATCCATAATGCGAAGTGTTACATACCCTTGATAAAGTAGAAAGATCTCACTATCGATCTCTAATATAGACTACTAAACACTGAATGTTTCTATATTTAATATTACATTTTTGAGAAATAGATTGAAGAGTGATGGACATGGTATCAGAATTAAAACTAACAATTGTTAGTTACCATTTAAAAATATTAAAAACTACACCCCAGTTTCTGATCGTTAAACTTATTCTCTGCATTAAAGGACCCCCTCTCGAAGTGTATTAAAAAGGCACCAAAAATTATATTCATCCTGGAGCGCAGTTTAAATTTGTGCAGCCAAATTGGCTTTTGTGGTAAAAATATTTATTTTTCTCGCTTCCCGTCCCCTTTCCCCAATTCCTTTTTGGCCAGGCGCAAATTTGCTGCAATTGAGCTGAGTTCTGCTTTATTTTATTTTTGGTTTTTTGCACTTTTATGTTTGGCCAGCCGCAGGTTAGAAAAGTTTATTGGGGCGTAAAATTGTTTGATTGAATATTAGTGAGCGGTGCCGCGTTTGAGTTTGAGACCCCCACCCAAAAAAACTGAAAACTGGCGGACAGTAATAGCATAATAAAACGTAAGGCGAATAATATATTGAGAATTTTGGGGCATACAACAGAGTTCAACATGGATCAGAAAACCGAAAGTTAGAGGGGGAAAATGGAGCGATCATCAGGCGATTCCAGCCCCTTGGAGGGCATTTCCCACAATATTCGTGAGACCCAAAACGCAGAGCAGTGAGGACACCAGCACTTTTTCGGTTAAGATTAACACCATATTGGCAATATTCGCTGCGGGCTAATATAACACGAAAATAAGTAAGCCGAATGGAATAAATGGTAACTGCATATGCTTACCTCCAGGAACGTTATGGTCATACTGAGAGTTTTTTGGGCCAGGATCACGCTGAGGCCAATGCAGGTGATCAGACCCATTATGGTGATGAGGGTCAGGGTCTCCACAAGACGCACGGCCACTGGCATTTTTGCGATGGAGCTTCAGGTATCACTCGCACCGATAATGGATTGAAATGGGATTTTGGGGAATTTAACTTACTTTTGGAAACTATTTTTGGAGGAAACGCCAAACAAAATTTACATAATGATGTTTAAGTCATAGTATTTTACTTAAATATATTGTAAATATTATTTTAAAAATTTTTTTCTTATAGGCTAAAGATAGCATATTACCATTTAAATTCTTAATGTTTATCAAATACATTATAATACTTTTGAAACTATGTTGGTAGAAAAGCCTAACAAAATATACATTATAATGTTTATTTTAAAGTACTTTACCATAATATATTTTAAATCTTATTCAGATGTTTGTGTTCCTAATAGAATTATTTTTATTCGATTTCGAACCCTATGAAAATATTTAAGTGGCATAATATTAACTTCACATTTAATCCCAAGACTAGTTATAATATTTACATTTAAGTTGTTTATCTTTTTCAACAAATTTGTCCCCATCCAGAATACATTGTTTGGACTTCAAATTTATGCCAGCTCCATCAGCAAATGAAAATTAGTAAAATTATTATGTTTCTCCATTGCGATCCCATTTAGATATGTCTTTTGTTCCAGCTTTCATAAGCCGCCGTACAAATTATAGTTTTTCAATCATGTTTTTTTTGTCGCACGCGACATTTTCCAATTACGCTATGCAAATGCAATTTGTCTGGACTGCGTGCAATTTAGGTTCTCACATAAAACCCTACAGCCACTGCCACGCCCCCTTTTAATGGAGAAGACCCAGTGATGGGCGCTGTTTTGCCTGGTGTGGCATAGATTGCTTTGAATTATGGCACTAAATGGCTAGACATGTTACATAATTCATTTAGTCGGCACGGGGACAAATTCCATGATATGGAACATGTGTCTCGCTCCATTTTTCAGCGAACAATGGAGCACTGGATTTATTTATTATTTCACTGGAGTATATTGCGATATGGCGAATTCAATTAGCGGCAACTGGGACAAAAAATTAATTGATTTCCCTGCGAACATTTTAAACTCAATTGTATTGACTCGCTCGACGTAAGTTGCTTTTATGAAAATATTTTCCTGCTGTCTGGCGAATTTTCGTGTTCATTTTGTTCCAGCTTCCCCAAGAATAAGAATCCCAGAATAAATATTTGCACACGTTGTCTGGAAAGACAGACAGCAGCATAAGCGAAAAGTTTTGTCGCAAATCCTTGGCAAAGGCAGTGCCTCGGGTGAACCTTCAAAAAGGCAAAGACGAAATTAAAATAAAATAAAGTAAAATAAAATATAGCTACTTCAGTCAGGATTTATGACTTACATTATATAGATGCATTCTTAATATTGTATTTGCTTTTTATTGTGATGTCAGAACTCAGAAAACTGATATTAAAATCTGCTGTAAAAATGCGTGTGAGTATGAGAGCTCAATCTGAAACAATGAAGAAAATACTTTAAAGTTTTACTTGAAAAAGGAAATATAAATTGAAGACCGGAAGGGCCACCTGTTATTCGATTTCAATATATCAAAAACACGTTCCCTGTGATATGGAGTGCAATGCCATTCAATGGAAATAAAATGTCGCCAGCTTGCCAGGAAGTTCCATCGCATTTGAACGCTTCAATAAATCATTTTTACAATGCGAAATAAGTTTAAATATTAGTGGAACCTTTTAAAGACAGCTGGTCAGGGCTAGACTTAAAACTTAAATTTATAATAATATCTTAGTTTGATAAACCATTTTTACAATGCGAATGAGACAATTTAAAAGGCAGCTGGTCAAGGCCAGACTTGTTACTTTAAATATATTTTTAAATATTCAGTACCATTCTTTCTTGCGGTTGCCAGACAGCAATGAAATAATTTCTAATTCAGCTAACGAAAATGGTTCCTAAAGCTCATTATGATTCCCAACGAGAACCGAACGGCAATTTTGTGAATGTCCTTCGGCTCCAATTTACCAGCTGCCCCTTCCTTTGACCCATCCATCGTGTCTGGCCCTATTGTAAGTCTTTGTAACTGTCTCTGTTGTTTTTATTCCTTTGATTTCATTATTATTTTTATTGCTTCGGACTTTTTTGTGTGTCCAACTGACTGAATTCGAGGCTTCGAGCCAAAGCAAAAGGCGCATTTTAATTTTATTATTTCTGTTTGGTTTCGTTTCGTGCTCGTTCTCACCCCACCGACAAAAAATCTATGGCATTCGCATAAAAAAGGGTATTTGAGCCAGGGCATTCACTGATTGTGAGTATTTTTTCTATGGCTTGTTATTCGTTTTTTCCTTTTTACTGCGTTTTTGGCACATTTTCAAGGCAGCCATGGACACACGCCCCACTTGCCACATTTTTTATACAATTTCTGTTTTTATTTCCATTTGTTTCTGTGCTCTCTTTGCGTTCTTTGCCTTCTTATTAAGAATTAATAATCTTTTTTGCCATAGCTAGCTACAAATTTGGCATTTTATATTTTTTACGATTTTTTTTGGCGGTAGAAGGCGAAGGGAGGGGCACTAGAGCTCATGAATCATGATTATGCCGGCTATAATTTAGTTTTAATAGCATTTTCGGTGACATTTATGCTGTCAGCGCGTCATCCAATTTTATTAATGTCCAAATGAGCCTCGCTGTATGTGATACGACTGTATGATATCATTATGAAGACACTTAATGTCTTTGCTTGTCTTTGCTCTAAATTAAGTTATGGCCCTATGATTGTAATTGAAGGGGAATGGTTCTTTGAAGAGCCTATTTCTCTTTCAGTTTGAAAAAAGTGGCTTGCTGAAATTTGGATTGATGTTTTTTAAATTCCCTAGGACAATAAACTAAATATTTCCTCAATCTTTTAATAATATGTTGGGACATTATTATGGAACTGAACTAAAGTGTAACTACCAAATCCCGCTGCCTAACAATATTATTACAAGTTAATTCTTGTTTACACCCACTAAAAGACCTATTTTTTCCTCTTACCAGTTTTCTTTTCTCATTTTCAATTTCCCTAGTCCGGTGTAGGAACTCCGTTTTAATGAGTCGCCCCGAGGCAAGCTGCAGCCAAAGCGAACCTAATCATCTCTGGCTCACTTAAGTAATAAAGCAATTTACCGCCTTTCAATATCCCTTAACCAGTTTTTATCTTTTTATCCGTTCTGGACCTGGTTCTTGGTTCTTGGTTCTTTGGAGCCTCCTGCCATGGAAATCATCCCCTTGGGGTGGGCAACTCCCACACAAATTATTTTCCCGCTGGTTTCCACTTCGTCTTTACCACACTGATAAAAAAAGTTATTAAACCAAAAGATTTCATAATCAACTTAAGTATTTATCGGTTTTTATCATCAATTGCGGTTTTTATGAATTTAAAACATAAAAATATTTAAGTTAAATATTGTAAAAAAAGTAAATATAACTAACATCACATTCAATATTTTCTTGATTCAAATATTTTAAAATGAAGTCATGCAGTTTAATATGTTTGGAATTAAATATTTCATTGTTTATTTAATTAAAATATGTAATAGGAAACTTTGAACACTTACTATTTATTTATTTTTAGTGCTCCAATTTTTTCCAGTGCTCTTGTTCAGCTCCTCCTCGACTCTTGCATTTTATTGTTGGCCAAAGGAGGCTGGCTCCTCGGAGCTTTGGACTTGTCGCCTCACGTTGCCGCTTTTTATATCCCTGGAGGAGCTGGTGGAGCTGGTGGAGCCCAAGGATCAGGAATCGGGAGGAGGTGCAGCAGATTGGTCAGACGCCTGCGGTGTTTCCTGGACCCTTTTGATTTTAGTGTCCGATTGGCAAAGGGAAGGAGGCCAGCTGACTTTGTCCTGCTCCTGGTTCTTGGGTGTAATGATTTTATTACACGATTTTCTATCGAATTTTATTACCTTGGTGCATGATGCTGCGCCAGGATTGCGCCATGTCCTTTATGCCCTTTTAGCCCTTGCGGCCATCCAAATGGAATTTACGCACTCATAAAATTTCGCCCCCTTTTGAATTGTGTGGGAATATTTCGAATGGCCAAGTAGAGAGGTGCTCCCCCGGATTCTCCCTGGCCATCATAATTCAATATCATAAAACGTTTATCCAATTAATTTCTCTGGCCAATATTTATGATCGGTTCGTGCGGAAGGAAGCAGGGCATATTTACATAGATAGAGTATGCATGTTGGACCTTATAAATTGCTCACATATTTGTTAAGGCATCGTTATGCGTTCGAGTTGGTTATAAAAATGTTCATTGATCAGCATGTGTGAATATTAAAAGAAATGACGTTTTATTAGGAGTTGGGAATATTAATGGGGAAAAAAACTATAGAGTACTGTTTAAGCAATAATAGTGCCTAGATGTTGAAATGGTTCTATAATTCTCCTATACCCATAGATAAAATACTGCCAAAATTTTAAATGCTGCTTAAATATGGCCTAAACAGGTTCGCAGTTATTATTAAACTACCCACAATATATATGCTCTTAAAAATATTTTTAATTAGATCTTGCTTATTTTTTTAGAATTTAGTTGCAAGTACTAATTGGCTCATGTTTCCCATCGAATTGCGCTGATTTATCTACAACAACGAGCTGTCATTCATCCATCGTACTGAGTAGACAATTGCCGGTTTCTGATCTACATTGATCTTGAAAATCTATCCAGCAAATGTACGGCGGCACGCTTCATTGAGTTTCATTTCCCATCCCTCGATCTATTTATTTAGCTGACCTAATCGAGTTTGATTTCCCATTTCGATTATGCTGCTGGCACTTTTGCTAATGAGCCACCCATATTCCCCTATTTTACTCCCCCAAAATCCCAACCGTGTAAGCTTTTATTTTACTTTTGTATTATAGCCCTTGTTTGTTTTTCCGTTGCGATGGTTTCAGTGTCAATGTCATGGTGGCCATGGTGTTGCATGCCGTGTTTCAAATGGCTGCATGCCAAAACTAATGGGCTTCCCCACGATGACGATGATTTTGCCGCTTTGCTCACAAAAACGAGATACCAAAACCATTTGTAGTTAAATTCCGTACAACAGATTTGTATTCATATGTGGGTCGTGTTCAGTCAGAGTCGAAATTATGGCTTCGCTTTCCATGTTTTCATTCCCATTTTTGGATTTGGCAATGCAC